CTGGTGGGCTGAGCTGGCCACACACACACACGCACACACACACACACACACACATAAATAAATAAATAAAACATTTAAAAAAAAGAATATATTATAAAAGTTCGTTATTTTCTAGCTATCGGAAAATGTCAGTGTTGGAGTCCTAATTTTTCCCTATTTTCTACCTTAGGATAATTCGTAGTTTCATAGTTTGGAACCTGAAGCGTATTAGCAATCTTTAAGAGAAATGGTTTTAATGTCTGTACATGACTTTGGAGAGGAGGAGCCCTCCCAATTCTTAAAATGTTATGTTAAATGTCCTGAGAATATAGACTACATCCTGTGTGTGCAACTTCATTGTAGGTGGTGGCTGCTGCTTTGGGCTGGCCACTTGGGAGCTCCTGGAGCCTGGCTCACGGACTGTCTCCACCTCTGCTCTTCCCTGTAGGCTCCCGGAGAGAAAGGTGTGGGTACCGAGTGGTTCGAAGACAGAGAAATCCCGGTGAGCAGCCGCACTGCCTCAGCAAAGCCAAGAAGCACGGCGGCCACGTGCCCCGGGCAAAGGAGCTGCTGCTGAGCGCTCTGAGCCCGGAGCAGCTGGTGCTCACCCTGCTGGAGGCTGAGCCGCCCAACGTGCTGGTGAGCCGGCCCAGTGCGCCCTTCACCGAGGCCTCCATGATGATGTCCCTCACCAAGCTGGCCGACAAGGAGCTGGTACACATGATCGGCTGGGCCAAGAAAATTCCCGGTAGGAAGTCCCGCCCCTGCCATTTTGGGGACGGGAATATGAATGGACATCCGTAAACTTTGTCTAGATATTTAATAGTTCGACATCTTTCCTCCTATGTGGCATATGTACCGTCAGCATCTCCTGGAAGCCAAGCTCTGATTGAGAGTTCTTGGGCACCAGGTTCTTCTCTACCAGACCTGGTATTATGGAAGCACTGTGCATGCCTGTTTCTTTTTCTCACTGTCTTCCCCACCTCTGAAGCTATTCCATTCCTCCTGTGCACACCACACCCTGTGTATCCACATCTTCTGTACCTCCTGCCTATTAGCTACCTCTTGCACCCAGGGGTGGGCTGGAAGATGGACTCAGGGAAGAGAAGCACCAAGGCTCTTGAGTTAGATTTGGGACCATTTGGGCAAGGAGTTCCAGGGCGTGGGGACTGGGAGTATGCTCAGAAGGTAGGGTGTGGGCGCCACATTGGTTGCCATCTTGGCTGTGGACTTCTGGCCTTGAGGGGAACAGTGTGGGCAGGCAGGATGCAATCTGACTGGTAGGAAAATGAGAGGTTTCTCAGATGCCAAACAGGAATAGAAGAGCGTTCTAATGAAATACCACTGTTATGCGTGATTATACATGAATAAACAGAATAAATGAGGATTTGGAATAACAAGACTCAAAGGGCAGTAGTCTGGGGTTGGTAACAAGTGAAACATTTGTCATTTAGAACATACATTTTTCCACCCTTTAAGGTGATCACTTCCCTGGGCTCTTTGTAGTGTGTATAGTTAGTGAATAGTTAGCTATGGTGGTGCAACTTGGGCTTTTTCCACCTTATGTCTCTGAAAGCATGTCCACTCAGGCATTGTTTTTCTCCTTCAGTACACTATTCCACAAACACTGTGAGCTACTCAACACTTCATTATAAAATGGGCTTTGTGCTAGATGACTTCAGCACAACCATAAGCTAAGTGTTCTGAGCATGTTTAAGGTAGGGTAAGGCAGTTAGGACGTTTGGTAGGTTAGGTTTATGAAATCCTTTTTTTTTCTTTTTTGAGGTAGGGCCTCACTCTGTTGGCTCCAGGCTAGCCTCAGATCTCTGGACTCAAGTGATCCTCCTGTGTCATCCTCTTCAATTAGTAGACGGTCTCAGGCGTGAACCACTGTGCCTGGCTTTATGTGCACTTTTTATTTACGGTATCTTCAACTTACTTTCAGCCCCTCTTACTGCTACCCTGGTGTAGGTTGAGGAATATCCGTGTGTGAAGTACTGTATTGTGCTCTAATGGCCAACCTTCATTTGAACTATGGACAAGCAAAACTTGAATACTGATGTGGAAGGGCAGCAATCCATCACCCCTCCGCCGAAAGAGCTTCTCCATCCATTTCTTTATAGTCATCTAAGGAATGAAGTCTCTGTCCAGGCTCTAGGCTGGAAAGTGTTTCCATGGCCTGCAGGGCACTTTGATATTAGGGAGACTACAGACTGGCTTGGGTGGGAAGCCGGGAGAAGAGCCGGCAGGGCTGTGGGGCCAACGCCCTACTTGTAGTCATCTGTGGGCCTGGGTCTGTTTCTTTTGCACTTTCTGAGGCTTTTCTTATTTCCAGTTTTGTTTTGTTTTGTCCAGCATCTTCACCTTTGCCCGAATTCTTTCATTTTCTCTGCTGCTTCCCAGAGGAGAAAACACTGATGCACTTTCCTCTGGTTTTTGCTTTCACTGCATTCCAAACGATGTTTTCAGGACCCCGCATGCAGAGTGGTAGTGAAATTAATTACCACTGAAAGCTGTGTAGCTTCTTTGTGGCTTAACAAAACTGAACGTGTAAGCTACGTGAGTTCCTTTTCAAGCTAGTGTTTTTTGAAGTTTGGGAGTTTGTTTGATTTGGTTTTTTTTTTTTTTTTACCGAATTTAGGCATAATCTTCAGGTGTGATTCCTTTCTCTGCTGACTTTGTCATTGTCCAAACCAAAGCAATATTGAACTGTCATCTAGCTGTGGTCCTTTTGAATATAAGAGTAAAAGAGCTTGACCTCTCTTGAGTAGGCTGAGGGTCTGTCTTTATGACTGAGATGGGAATGTGTCCGCATTAGGAAGCCAAACTAGGCGCAAGGCTGTGGTTTTGCGAAGTCGCAGTCATTACCCCATTGAACTCTCCTTCCTGAAAATTTGTTGTGTAATTGTCCAAAGCCTTGAGCAAGGTGTGGTCTCCATGCCGCCGTCTCCTCGTTGAACTGAATATAGCAAGAGAGCCTACCTGCAAGGATTCCTCCCAGACAAGTAAGATTCCTTCATTTTTCCTACTTTTTTTAAAATTTAATTTTTTTTTTTTTTTTTTGTACCAGGGATCAAACTCAGGACTTTGTGCTTGCCAGGCTTAAGCTGCTGAGCTGTCTCCCTGGGTGTTTGTCCCACTTTAAAAAAACAAACCAAACCAAACAAACCCCCAAACTTTAAAGGACTTGGGGTGGGGTAGCTCAGTGGTTGAGAACTTGCCTAGCATGACTGTGGCCCTGGGATCCATCCCAAGCAAAGCAAAACAAAAAGATATTGAATAACTGCCTAGGAAGGGTACAGCTGACATTCCAACCTGAGCCCATTGCACTGCGAGGCTGCGCCTTTGACTATATATTCATGTTATACTGCTCCCTGGCCCCATCGTGGCTCAGGGAAGAATCTCCAGTGTTCTCTGCTTTGCTTTAATTTTTTTTTTTTTTTCCTGGAACCAGGGATTGAACTCAGGGCCTCGCGCTTGCCAGGCAAGTGTTTATTCTACTGAACTATCTCCCCAGCCCCAATTTTTTTTTTTTTTTTTTTTTTTTTTTTTGAGACAGGGTATGTTGCTTTATAGTTCAGGCTGGCCTTCAACTGACTATGTAGCCCAAGTTAGCCTTGAACTCACAGTGATCCACCTGCCTCCGCCTTTCAAATACTGGGATTACAGGTGTGCATCACCGTTAAGGGGTCAAGCCAAAAAAAACCACTGACTTTCTTAGAGACTGCCTGTCTCATTCCCTTTCTGTGTCCAGTGCACGCTATCGGGGCTACCAAGACTTGCTTTGTTTGTGACATCATCTTTTCAGAATGGAATCTCCTGGGGATAGCGCTCCTCCCCAGAAGAGAGATCCTCACCTGGGTGGGAAATTTTTAAGCAGTTCAAGAAGTGATTTCAGTGGAAGCCTTGACTTTCTGCAGGGTCCAGTGCTGCTCTCTGTGCCCACAACTTCCACCTCATCCACTCAGCCTACAGCCTGATTAGACAGGCTGCTCCTCTGACCAGCCGCTGAGCTTTGTCTTTCTTAACAGTGCCCAGGATTTATCAGGATATTATGGCTACCAGGTTCAGCCCGGGCTTTCTGTCCTAGCATCTTCCTGGGGAGCCAGGCAGCCTAGGTAATAGTTTTTATACAGTACATACCAAATAAAGTTTGTTACTTAGGAGTCCAGGACTGGCACCTTCAAGTTGTATATTTTAAGCTTAAATATTCCTTCTTTTAAAAACTTGCCATTCTGTCTTTACAGCGGCGGGCCATGGAGGAGGGAGGTGGGTGTGTCTCATGGCCTCTTGCTTTCCCAGGTTTCGTGGAGCTCAGCCTGTTGGACCAAGTACGGCTCTTGGAGAGTTGCTGGATGGAGGTGTTGATGGTGGGGCTGATGTGGCGCTCAATCGATCACCCCGGCAAGCTCATCTTCGCTCCAGACCTCATTCTGGACAGGTGAGGAAAATGGTTTGGGATGTGTCTGCTCTGACTTATGTAAAGCACTTAGAAAAAGTCTTGGGAGCAGCAATTAAAATCTCCCAGCCTACAGGGCATCTAGAGGTTGGTAACGTCCTGAGCTCCTTCCCTGGGCCAAGGACCCGAGAAGAAGAGTGCATGAGCACAGGGACTCGGAGTCCCGTGAGCCTGTCTAACCTGCGGCGTAGGTTAGAGCTTAGGGCTCACAGGCCAGGCCGCGGGGAGGGCATGCGTCCTGCAGGGCCTGTGGCCACTTAGTGTAGTCAACGTAAGATTTTTCTGCCTTAAAATTTCCACTTCAGCTTATAATCTTAAGTTGTTCTGCTGTTTTATCCCACCTATAGCAGCTCATTAAATCTCAACTATCTGGACAGGTGTTAAAATTCTTATGAATCTGCCAAATTTATCTTTATGTGCTTTAATTCACTCTAATGAATTAGAGTACTATTAACAGCATTGTTGAAACCAAATGAAGTCAGCAGGAATCGGGACGTGACAGTACTACTATCATAACGTGGTTGCATTTAGTTTTTTTTTTTTTTTTTTTTTGGTGGAACTGGGGATTGAACTCAGGCCCTTGCGCTTGCCAGGGAAGTGCATATTCCACTGAGCCATCTCCCCGGCCCCTTGCATTTAGTTTTCTTTTGAACATAGCATGGTTTTTAATTGACTTAGCCCAGCTGTTTTTAGAGGGAAAAAAATGAATATACAACAACATTCAAGCCTTTTTGCAAGAAAAATAGCAAATTCTTGGTGTATATTTGAGGAGTTTGAAAATCTCCATGGAAGCTGATATCCACTTCCCCTTACTTTGAAAAAGTACTGGTGTCAGCCACAGTTGCCTCTGTGCACCACATAAGGAGGATGCCTGGTGCTGTGAGCCCAAAGTGCCTGCCCCAACTCTCGCATCGTAATCCTGTTACCACTTTAGGTCATCAGAAGACCCTCATTCGCACGGCATGCAGATGAAGAATGATGCCTCAAGGTATCAGCACCCATTCTGCCTGTTGTCATGGATGACACTGACAAAGAGCACTGTTCTGAGTAATGGAGGTGTTTTGGTGGAGAACAGAGGAAGAGCAAAGCGTGGGATGTGGTTTGAGCAGGAGCAAGCCCAGGTGGTAGACCGCAGAGGGACGCTCTCGGAGCCCAGGGCGGGGTGGGGCATCAGACCCTCCAGTACCAATCAGAGTGACTAACTTATTGGTTGTGTGTACCAGGCACCATCTAAGCACTTGCATTTGTTGACCCATTTAATCTTCATAACATCCACTTGGGGGTAAGCGCTGTTATCATCCCTGTTCTTCAGATATGGAAATGCAAGGTTCCGTGACTGACCTCCAGTAACAGAGTAGCAAGTGGTGGGACCGGTCGTCTTCGGCCTTGAAGACAAGGATGTGAAGGCTACACTTTTCCTTCTCCCCCGTGCTGGAGATTGAACCTAGGGCCTTGAGCACACTGCTGAGTGTACACCACACTTTAAAAATCTTGAGTCAGGAGCTCACTGAGTCACCCCGGTTGCCCTTGAACTTGTGATCCTCCTGCTTCAGCCACTCCACTGTCCCCACTGGCTAGGATTCTGGGCGAGACTACCATGCCCCAGTGGAAGTCTGCACTCTTAGTGACAATAGAACGCTACCTCCTGGCAGGAGAGAGTGGAGCAGAAAGAGGAGGCTGAAAGGCAAGCTAACTTTCTGCTTTGCTTTTGTCCTAGAACAGCTCTGTCCTAGTTCTGCCCACTTTAAAAGCCCACTGCTTCTGTCTTTAAGGGTACCCTGTTGCAAGGCAAGCTGAAAAGCCATGCACTCAGGCAAGCTGCTATATCCATCCATCCATCCATCCATCCATCCGTTCATTCCCACTTGATGATTTAATTAAAGCCAATGCTCCTTCATGTACACACATGCGTGTGTGAATATACACATCTAATTCTTCTACAAGTTAGTGCTACAAAGATATTCTGTCTTTTGAGGAGCCAATGAGTTTGAAGATAGATTAAATTTACATTTTGTCTTTATTTCTAAGTTAATGTCAAACTTTATTTTCAGTGACTTTCATTTTGGGTTTTTATTACAATTAACCCTTTCTTTGTATGGGTTCCTTAATTCCTTGTGTTAAAGTTACTGTGTTTAAGTTACTAGAAATGGACACCAGTCCTGGAGAAATGGTATGCCTTCCTGTTAGGTAATAAAAACTTTTAATAGATTCACATTACTCTATAAATATTTGAAAATGTTATGGTTTATAACATATAAATTTAGTATATTTCATCAAATAGAGAAGAATTTTATAAATGCATTTACAATAGGCAGACACTGTTTTGTTTTGGTTTTGGTTGTTCCTTTGAGATGGGGGTTTGCTGTGTAGTCCAGGCTGGTAGTGAACTTGGCAATCCTCCTGCCTCTTGCTTCTCAGTGCTGGGATTACAGGTGTGCACCACCCTACCTGACAGCAGCAGGCTTTTTTCCTTTTAGAGTATCTACTACTATTTTTTGTTGCTCTCTTACAGTATTGACAGAATATTAACTTTGTGAATCTAGATTTTCAAATCTAAAATAGTTTACTTAATTTGTCTCATAGATATACTTTTATAATAGGTATGTATAATAGGTATGTCTCTGGAGGAGTTGCTTATTCCATAAAGGTTTCTATTATAATTTTTTTTGCAAAGTAAATAGTCTTCATACTACTTAAAAATTAAGTCCTTTTTGCTGGATTGTCCTACCAGAATTCTTTTATGGGGTCTTATGATCCTATAAGCTGTGCATTCAGCTGGGTCAGTATGTTATGGATACTGAGACTGCGACTTCTGTTTCCTACTATGTTTTTTTGAAACAGGGTCTCGCTATGTAGTTCTGGCTGGCCTTGAATTTACTTCATAGCCTAAATCTGAATTTATGGGAGTTCTCTTGCCTCAGCCTCCCAAGTGCTGGGATTACAGGCGTGCACCACCTCACCTGGCTCCGTTGTTCTTGTTGAGGCCTCTGAAGAAGTTGAATTTGAACCTGCTGAAGATGAGATGGAAATCCAGTTCTTTCATTTGATTTCTAACAAGCTAGTTCTTCTATAATCATAAATCGATGTGTGAAGGTGTACCATAGAACCTGAACTTCTACTTAGAATACCTAAACTGGGTGTGGTGGCACACACCTGTAATCCCAGCTCTCTGGGAGTCTGTGAAGTAGGAGAATTACGAGTTTGAGCCCATTCTGGGCAAAATAGTACTTACTGAGATCCTGCATCAAAATAAATAGGTAAATAAATGAAATGAAGGAACAGGGATGTAGCTCAAGGCAAAGACCTTAGTTCAGTCCTCAGTATTGGAAAAGAAAAGCATAAACATCTGGGTAGTGGCTCATGCCTGAAATCCCAGCCATTTGGGAGCTTGAAGCAGGATAGCAAGTTCAAGGCCAGCAGGGACAACTTTGTGACTTAGCAAAGACCCTGCCTCAAAAAGGGGCGGGGTGGGGGGGTGGCTGTACCTCAGGTAGAATGCTTGTCTAGCATGCTATAGGCTCTGAGTTTAATGTGATCACACACACACACACACACACACACACACACACACTAAGACATTTTGGTGTTAGGAAGTTGTCTACTTCTAAATGTTACTAAAATGTTGGAGGAAGTTTGGAATGGGGCCTGAGCCCCATTGTAGATGTTTACAAGAATTTCTTGGAGTTGAACGACTGTGAATGTTCTGAGTTTGCATACACGTTTGCATTCACATGTTTAATTTTCAAGATAGCTATTAAATTTTTCATTTACCTTTTGTCTCCAGGCAATTTCACTTCAGCTCAATATTTCATAAGCCCTTCAGTACAACTCACTTCCACATCCTGTAAAGTGGGTCCCCAAATGGGACCCACTCATTCCACATTTTGTTGTTCCACCAAACAGGATAAATTTTTAAATGAAAGTGATTATTAAGTAATAAAATAGTTCATAAAAAATAAAATAAGTTCATAGACAGTTACTAATTTTACCTTTTATTTTTACTGGTTATGGCCAAATGGTATGCAGACTAACCTACTATTTTCATGAGTAGGTTAGTTTGATTAGCATATTGTCACAGTATTTAAAATTGAAAGCATATGTTCTCTATTTTTTTTTAAGGATTTTTTTTTTTTTTTTGGTCCGAATGCCTTCAGGGCAGGTTTGGCTGGCTGGAGTTGCGGGAATCCAAGTACAGCAACCTGAGGCTGACAGCTTTGTGGAAGCAGCCACTTAAAGAACTGAGCTAGGGCCAGGACCCCATGTTCTCTATTTTTAATTCACATCTTTGACTCTGTCCTAACTTCTTACTTTTAACTCAGTTTTGATCCATAACTATAAATGGAATAGAGTTCCTCAAAATTTTATTTTTATGTTTTGTTTTTGGTGCTGAGGACCGAACCCAGCCTTTCCAGCTTGCTAGGCAAGCATTCTACCACTGAGCCAAATTCCCAGCCCCGAGTTCCTCAGAATTTTAAGGTGCCTCCTCTCTTTGTTCTTTATAAACTCTTAAAATAGAACGTTACTAGACTGTCATTTATGAGGCCTACGCTTTGGGCTGCCTATATTTATCATTTATTTTCTTAAAATGTACTTATTTTCCACAGCCTGTGAAGTTAATAAAGTATTCTAACAACCTTACAGTAAATAAATATCCTAGTTATGAATTGAAACTGAGCTGTAAGTAAGACATTGGGCAGAAGTCAAAGATGTGAATTAAAGATAGAGAACATATGACGTGAGTGTTAAAGTGCAACAGTATGCCAGTCAAGAGCTTGTGAGATAGCTCAGTGGTCTAAAGCGCCTGCTTAGGCAAGCTTAGGCAAGAGCACAGAGACCATGGTTTGATCTCCAGCACCACATGCCTTGCCAGCCTTGCCCCTGGAGTGGACTGAGCTGGCCAAAAAAAGCCAGTCAAATCAACCTTAAAGAAAGCAGAAAAGAAGTCAGACTTGTGCCTCAGGATTGTTTCACATTGTGGTGGCAAGCCGAGGGCGTGTGTGCCTCAGCAGGCAAACGGAGGCCTCTCTGGTGCCAGGCGGGCCATGTCACCCTAGCAGCTGAGCGTCAGATCGCAGTTGAGTTTTCTAAATCGAAACCCCACCATTCAGATTTCATTGCAGTGCTGTGATAAATAAGTGGGTTTGGGCTGCAGTTCGGGTGACTGGTCTCTAAAAGTTTCACTGCCACTGGTTCAGAAGTGCACTTTCCCCATGAAGTATACGCTGAATACTGTAAATTCAGTGTTCGTCAGGGTTTCAGATGCCCCAGTGAACCCCCCTCTTTTTTTCTTTTTTTGTGGAACCGGAGATTGAACTCAGGCCCTCGCGCTTGCCTGGCAAGTGCTTATTCTACTGAGCTATCTCCCTGGCCCCTGACTCCCCACTTTTGAAATAGGAATTTTTATTTTTTTTTAATTTTTTTTATTTATTTGAGAGAGAGAGAGAGAGAGAGAGAGAGAGAGAGAGAGAGAGAGAGGTGTGTGTGTGTGTGTGGCCAGCTCAGCCCACCAGGGGGCGGGGCTGGCTGACATGTGGTGCTGGGGGATTGAACCGCGGTCCCTGATGCTTTGCTAAGCTTGTTCTAAGTAGGTGCTTTAGACCACTGAGCCATCTCACCAGCCCCAGGAATTTTTATTGTAAATGGTGTTTATTTAATGATGTAGTACTGATGTCAGTATGTAGGGACTGTCCTTAGTGCAGGTAGCGACTTCTGGGAAGTAGGGTTGATTTCAGATGCATCTCCTTGGGGATGTGTATGTCGTGTGTGTGCGCGTGAGCCACTTGTGAATGTGACATTCACACAAGGACTAAGAGTCAAACTATGAAAGCTTCATAGTGCAGGAGTTGGCGGGGTTTTTGTTTTTGTCCCTAAGTGATATTTCAAAATCAGCTTTTCTCAGTGCCATATGTTCCCAAGCTCAGCAGTTCCGCTTTCTAATAATTAATTGTCCCCAGTTAACTGGTGAGATTTGATCTGGCAGCACAGGGACATCCAGTGCACAAGTACTTCCTGTGTACCTGTTATGTACTGTAGGACTAGTATCCTCCTTTTTTTTTTTGCAGAACCAGGGATTGAACTCAGGCTCTTGAGCTTGCCAGGGAAAGTGTCCTCCTTTTTGAAACCCAGAGCTGAGGAAGTGGTTAGGCGAGGTGGGAAGATGGCGCATGCAGAGGCTTGGGGTCTCCCAGAACTCGGGCACTCTTTCCCTGGGGCTCGTCCTCCAAGGCGCTCTTGGGCTTTGTGTGGCTCCGAGGGGCCCTGGTGTCTTCTCAGCTAACCTGTGTGCCTGCAGAAAGCTGCCTCTCTTTGCGGAAGCCACTGTGCTGGTGGGCCAAAGCAAGCAATTTTGGTGTTTGTGGCCCTGTGGAGGTGAGTGTGGGGTTGCGAATGCTGTGGGACGCAGGATCCTGAGGAGCTGCCGTCCTAGTTGAGTACCGGGGGAGAGAGCTCCCTGAGACTGTTGGTGGCAGTTCATCTGAGCTTGGCAGGGCTGTCCCCCAGTACTGTGCTCCCTGGAAGCATTCTGGCTAGCAGGTGTAGAAGGGAGCGAGGAGCAGCTGCTGCTGGGGGGGGGGGCAGGGTGGGGACGGGACCCTCCTGCTCCCTTCAGAGGCAGCCAGGGACTATAGCAGGTCCAAGAAACCCAGTGCCACCAGGGTCTTTGACTCTGCTGCAGGCTTAGGGGAACAGTGAGGATCTTGTGCCCACATCACCAACTTTTGTCCAGGACCTCAAAAAACTTTCACTGATGGTGATAGAAGGGTTTTTTTTTTTTTAAGTAACGTGGTGGAATAACGTGTGTCTGAGTAGAGTGAATGAAAGCCACTATTTTCTAGATAAAGTAATTTACTTCAGAGGTGTAAATTTTATTTCTGTAAGGAGTGCTCGAAAGAAGTTTGATTATACAGATCTAAGTTTTGTCTAAGATGTTTGCTAAAAATAAAACAGTCTGCAAGCTGAGTGAGGAGGCTTGTGGCGGTGGTCCCATCTGTGGGGGAAGCTGAGGCAGGAGGAGTGCCTGATCCCAGGAGTTCCAGACCAGCTTGGGCACCACGGCGAGAGCCCATGTAAAAACCAAACCAAGCCAAAATGCTTCAGCAAATGCAAAATTTCCATCTCCCTGTTTCTACCTTTTCCTGACTTTAATCCACTGCCAATTATGGTTTCTTTGTATGTCATATTCTCTTATTTCAGATTACATTTAAGTGTCTTTTAATTGCTGTATGACTATCAGGAAGTAAAAATGAAGGCCTAGGCGGGAAGATTTATCCTTTTGGGATATTGGCTTCTGCAACATTCCGTCTTCCTCCCTAACGCTTCCTGAAGGAGCATGGAATGTCGCACGTTAGTAGCATGTGTTGAATCTAGCAAGGCTGAAGCGGGTTAGATTGTGAAATAATCCAACAGTAGCAACGCACGACGCACCTTTGAGAAAACATTTGAGAGGGTAGAGAAAAAGCATAGCTCTGAGACAGTTTGCCTGCATAGTAATGTGAATGTTTACATCAGGATTTCTAAGAAATGCCTTTTTAATTTGTACGTGGAATGCTGGGATTGTCCACGCAGGGCAAACGCTCTGCTGATGGGCCGCTCCCAGCGCGCTTAGAGGATGGTGATTCTAGCAAGTTCCCCTCCTTGGCTGTGGCCTTTTTACTAATACTTCCTCCTAGCCAAAGGGTGCACAAGGTGAAGTCTGAGACTAGACAGAAAAGTGCTCCTTGGTGCTTTCGATGGTTCCCTGCAGCTGTGTGTTCCTTAAATTCCCAAATGGACTTTTGTAGGGATGAGGGGAAGTGTGTAGAAGGAATTCTGGAAATCTTTGACATGCTCCTGGCAACAACTTCAAGGTTTCGCGAGCTAAAGCTCCAGCACAAGGAGTACCTGTGCGTCAAGGCCATGATCCTGCTCAACGCCAGTAAGTAGCCGCGTGCGCGGGCGGGCGGGCAGTGGGGGGGGCGCTGCTCCGGGCTGGCCTGACCTCAGGATGCGCTCCCAACTTCTGCTTCGGGGTAAACGGGACAGCGGCTTCCTGTCTGCCTGCTCAGTTTTATTTTTATAGGGATTTAAACTGTGGTTAACTTTTGGTAACATACATTATTCAGCGGTAGAAGTCCTCAAAGCCAGTTTAAAAAGTGGTTCATTAAAAAAAAAAAAAAAAAAA